CCGCTGTGTCTGTAACCGCAGGGGCAGCGCCCGCCTCAGCCCCCCTCGGCCAAGGAGCCGCCTGCTTGTTCTGTTCTCAGCCGTCTGGTCCGAGGTCACGACACTGCTCGCTGTGCTCTGCGGACGGGTCGGGCCACTCGGACTGAAGAATGGATGCAGAGGGCACCTGGGGCCGGGAACCCGCAGCTGAGCTGCCCAGCGGGCTGTGGACTCACATCTCGGACCTGCCACTTCTTTGGGGTCCCTTTGTCTCTGAGGCCAGGGTCTCACCTGGGCTTCACTAAGTGGGCTAACACTAAGCGTGCAGCTGGCACCAACAGGATCTGCCTCAGAGGGGCAGCTTGAGGGTGAAGAGACTCTCCAGGCCAAGCACCCAACCCAGAGCCTGGCACAAGTCGGTGCTCGGGCCCGGCCCTGTGGTGACCAGCTGTGGCCCGGCCTCGCCCTGGCTGGCTCCACTCAGCTCAGGCTGCCTGTCTCTTAGACAAACCTGGCCCAAGGCCCAGAGCACTCTCCCCAGGGTACCCGGCTTTGTATCCCAGGATGGCCACCGGCTGACTTCATGGCACAGGAACTCTGGGAATTTCCTGGCAGGAAGGCTTCTGCTGCCTGCACATGAGAACAGCTGATGGGCAGCCAGAGCTGCTGAGAGGCAGCTGCGGGAACACAGGCCTGGCAGGATGGCTGCCCCACCCCCACCTGGGCCCTGGGCCCTGGAGAGGGCACCTGGGGTCCAGGCTGGACCTGGTGTCTCTTACAGGCCCATGGTGAACAGACCTGGGCTCCCCTGCCAGTGGCCACAGTCCCTTTGGCCTGCACAGACCAGCTCAGGTTGGGGTCTGGAGACCAGGAGATGGTCTCAGACAGAGCCAGACAACGTGAGGCGTGGGCGGACTGTGGGTACGCTATTCCCTGCAGCTACAGTTTGCACAACATGCTTACTCCTTACTCGGTGGTACCTGTTGACCAGGAACCGCGCGGCACGGCGGCCCTGGGACCACTGAGTTGAGAAACGCAGTCTGGACCCCCTTAATATGGGATGGGGTTCCCACATGGCAGCCGCCTACACATGAGCAGGAAGAAGCAGTGAATCTAATGTCCTTCCTCTTGCCTCCATCCTGTCCTCCAGGTCAGAGGCTGAAAGGCCAGAGCAGCTGCCCATAAGACCCCCACGGGTGGCGAGGGCTAAGCTGAGGGGGGGCAGGGCTGAGGCAGAAAGGCACCCACATGCAGCCACACGACTGCGCACAGACAGGCCCAGCGTGGTAGCACTCACTGTCCCCAGGTCAGCTTCAACGCAAGCCCCCCACCCCACTCCTTCAACCCCACCCCTGCTCAGTACCTGTGCATAAGGCTTTCTGTCCATTTCTAGAATTCAGGAGGCTTCTGGCCTAACCTCTGAGCTTCCTTGGGGTAGAAGTGGGTAAGAGAGACTTTTTGTTCCTAAGAGTCCTGGGAAGATTGCCCAACCCGTAGAAGAAGGCAGTGGGTGGAGGCCAGGCGGCCCTGGCTACGGGGACACTGACCCTCCTGGGACAGAAGGCTGTCTTGCTGCCTCAAGACGGCCAGCTAGAATTTTGAAGACTTCCTGGTACCCAGACGGGCCACTCTGGAGTTTGGAAGGTTGAGGCCGGAACACTGTGACCCGAGTGTGTTCACAACAGGGACTGAGGGGAAGGTGGGGGCCCCCGGCGCGTCGGACGGTCCTGCTGGACCAGGCCACATCCCTCCTTGGCCAAGACATGTCTACCCATGGGCTGGAAGAGGAAGTTGGGGTCCCGGGGGCCCAGGCTGTGTGTGTGTGTGGGGGGTCTACTCCCCAGGCTCTCCCACATGCACTGCCAGCCCAGGAGGGGTGAGTCACGCCACACAGCTCTTCAGTGCTGCTCGTGGGAAAGCCACGGAACCTCTGAGCCCAGCCCAAACTCCGTGGCCCAGCAGCGGTCTCTGATGACACATCCTCGCCAGCCCTGGGACCCCGGCCTAGCCCTGGCACTCACCAGCGCTCAGCACGAGCAGCCTGGTCTGGCCAGGACTGAGAGGAGAAACCTCAGAGCGGCAGGGAGGACCCCCACTTTCCTCCAGGACACACCCACCTCTGAGCCCTTCCTCCCCCAGCGCCCACCACCCCCAATCCTGGGCAGAACAGCCCCAGCCCGCAGTCTGGTGCTCGGGTCTTCCAGGCTCGGGACATCACCGACCTCGGTGCCCTTAGCCCCCCGCAGGGCCCGGTCTAGTCCACCCCAACTCGGCTAGAAAGTAAAAGGCCCGAGAAGATAGGAAGGACCTCAGGCCCCCCGCGGGGGGCGCGGGTGTCCACACCCGGCCGCGAGCACAGGCTCCACCCGCCAGCGCCAGCGCCAGCGCCATCGGCGGGGCTGCCTTACCGTGGCGTCCTCGGCGCCGTGGTGGCCGATGAGGCGGCTGCCCCCGGGGTGCCGCTGTGCCCAGCGGCTGATGTCGTAGACCCGGCGCTCGAGGACCAGCCACTTGTCGCCCGGCAGGTTGTGCTGGCGGATCTGCTCCCAGCGGAAGATGGGCAGCGGCGCCCCCGGCCGCGCGGGCCCCCCG